TCCAGCTCAATATTGAAAACCGAGATTCCAGGGCTCTTAGTGTGGCTCACTTTTGATGCCTCAAAAGCTGTGCTCGCAAGCTCTCTGAGTTCTGAGATTGGCATACCAACGTGGGCTGAAGGGCCCAAGTAGTTAATGAAGTTGTGATACATGTTCGACAGAAACATTTGTTTGAATGGTAATAACTCTTCCATTCCTGTTTCAGTGAGTAGGCCAAAGTAAGCTGAACGAAGCCTATGATGGTATGCTTGTGGGTGTTCATTCCGAGCTTGTTTGACAGTGTCGGCCAGCGAGCTTTCCCGTTTGCGAGTCGCAGAACCACTGAATTCTATTTTCAGCACCGTGGCAAGTTTAGCGTAGTCGTTTTGCACGTGTTGCTGTTGTAGACGGATTAACCTTTTCACGTGTCTATTCGACGTTCGCTTCAACAGGTAAAGCCTGTCAGTATTGTTGTGGCAAATTTGTCCTTATACTGATCAAAGAACCAAAGTATTTCCAGAGTTTTTGTAGAATTAAGGTATACTGTATTACAATTAGATAAAGCCGAGGTGGTCTGCAGAGCATCTCTCTTCCACCTCTCAGCTCTGTTTATATAGTCATTTTACATTTTAGCTTAACCCCTCCCTCTTGGGTTCCCCCACCACTTTCTCCAGTTTCCACCTCTTGACCGCTACGCCCATTTCCTTAGTCTATGATAGTGGTGAAATCTGACTTCCCCTCCTATGTATTCAGTTTGGAAACAATGGTGGTGTGACCAACCAAGCCTTGTCATGCACAAATAACAGCCCTGTCATGTAAAAATAATCATGTTCAGTTTGAACTCTGTTCAACCCTGGCTCACCCTGGCTTGACCTGGAGATTGATTGTGGACATGGCAGGTCCACAATCAATCTCTCAAACATACCCAAGCCCAACACCTCTCTCCCACCCTGTCATGCTGTAATTAATCAGGAAGACGCCCAAGGAGAGACAGGGTTTAGCCTGAACTCTGTTCAACCCTAGCTAGGTTTCCATCCAATTGGCCACAGATTTCTGGTTCGTTCCAGCGATATGCCTAAGGAGAGCCACAAGGCAACAGTCTGGTTTCAGTCACTGATAAGACAAGACAACTGTAGAATTTGACCCGAACACAGGTCAGATGCCCATTTCACACACACACAAACCCAGTGAGAGGAACCAACCAAGTTCTTACCTAGCAACATAGATGCACCAATCCAAAAATCCACATTAATGTAAAAATCCACATCAGTATCCGTAGCATTCGGGTAGCCATCTAAGGCGTCCTCTATGTCTGCTAAGAACGTCTGTGTCATTTGGCTTCCCTGGAACAGGGTCAAAGGTGTGGAAGTTTTTGACAATTTTGTCAAGGCATTCCGTGCCAAGTGCGCAGGGAGGGTTTGCTTCATCCTTTGGAGAAGTATGGACCAAGAGGAGAAGCCAAACTTTGGCTTTGTTGGCGAGGAGGTGCCATATTACTCTGTGCCGAATGGCCAAGAGGAAAAGACTGAGGGACCCCTGAGAGCGGTAAAGTCTGAAACCTTCTGTAGTCTTCACTCCTTTGTGCCCCGAGCTCCGGTTGCGAGCTTGGTTGCTTTGTTGGGTAGTCGCGCTTTTCTGGAGTTCCTCCAGGTGGTACCTAAGGGTGGTATTCTGCTTCATAGCAGAGTGCACTTGGGTGCTTAGAGTACTTATTTTAGACACGTGAGTGTCGCACTTGCTCCATTTGGCCTCACATATCTGTCATGGTTTGCAGGTAGAGGTCTTGAGTGCTGAGTGAAAGATTCAATGATGAGATTTCCTCCGCTTGCTTAGATTATTTTGTCCATATTCCTCACCTGGGTTCTCTCGTCATTCATTTGGTCAGTGACTTCAATGAATTCCGCTGTTTTGTCATCCACCTTCGTCATTGTGTTCGTTAACTGATCGTCTTTGGTCTGCAGCTTTTGGACTAGAACATTATTTATTTGAGTGACGTTCATCAAAACTGCATGCATGTTATCAAGATGTGCGCCCCTGTTCGTAGCTAACTCGTCAGATTGTCGTTCCTGTAGAAGACAATTTTGTTCAAGAGTTTGTGCTCGTTCTTTCTCAAGTCTTTTCCATTTCTTTTAATTGTTCCTTTCTCAAACGCAGTTCCTCTGCTTTTGTCATTATTTTCCTGGTTCTCTCCACCTGTCCCTTCATCTCAACTGTTTCTTGCTCGTGCTTCTGCTGTGCACTGCGGTACTGGACCGACGTCAATCTCTGCTGGTGGCCATACTTCAGGGCTAAACAAAAGAGAACCTTTACAAGGCCTGCGCCTGGTTTATTTTGGAGGGCATTTGTCGCAATTTCTAGTCTATTTTCACTTATTAGCGGGGGAATGGGGGCCACCCCCTCTAACTTGCACATTATTATTTTGTTTTGTAAAGTTGGTTTTGACTCGTTGGAAGCTGCAAAAACGATTTTAATTAATTTATAGACATTAATGAATCATCAATACTGGATCAGTAATGTGGGAATTGGACTTCAATGAACTTGCAAAAGCGAATTTAATTGATTAAGCAATGTTAATGATTAATCATACCTGTATAGGCTATCTGGGAATTAAACTTTAACCTGAAATCGTCGCTGTATCTAGGTTAAGATTGACAAGTTTAAAATGTCTCATTGGTTGGAAGAAATTAATTTGGTCCTTAGCCGAATGATCAACCTGGTAAAAAGGTTTGTTTGGCAATTTAACTTCTTTGGATATCGTTGTCTCATTCGATTTAACAATCAGTTGAGATTGATTGGATATTATAAAGTGTAACCAGTTGTTACAAAAATAAATTCTCCAAAACATTGTTGCCGATTCTTCACCACAAGGGGTCACTTACCCTTGAAAGCTGAAATAACACGCGATTCCAGCAAAGGCGGGACTTCCGTCGCCCAAAGCGCGGGATTTCCACTGTAAACAAAGAATGGCTTCTCTCTGTTTGTTAGCTTAGCTTCTAATGTAAAGCTAGCCGTTCTTGTACAAGAATGTTCACTTCAAGCACAAACAGGTCCCCTTCAATTCGGGAACGGGGGTTTACTAACGACGTATCACGTTCAACCCAATCGGCGTTTCTTGCTAACAATGTTACCGGAACACGCGGTAACATAAAGAAATACTCGCTGCGTCTACTCACGCTGTTGAAGCGCGAGAGACCGAGAGATAATACTTCGCTTCGGCCAAACAAATATATCTTCTCAAATGTCCAGGCCTCATGTCCTAGCTCTGGAAATTTAATAATTCACCCTACACACTCTGACACTGTCAGATATACAACACCGGAGACAATCACCGGAAACACACACACACACCACTCAACGAGAATCCTTCTTACTGCTCTTTGGTGTATAATTTGCTACGCAATTCCTGTAGACTGAATTCAACAGTAAGGCCTAATTTTGTCTTAGATTCCTCACACAGGGCGCCAATATGTTGTGACTTGACTTTTAACATTAATCTGAATACTTATTTCTCTAACTCACTATGTTTAATTGTTACCAATGAAATTAATCATGGAACAATTAACTCATTAGGATTTGGGGCACCGGGAGAGCGGTTCTTTAAAGTGTTACCATCTCCCGAATTAAACTCTAAAAGGTATTTTATCTATCACATCTATAAACAGTAAACTTATTAATCATAACCTTGTATCATCATTCTGAACAGTCTTGGCATCTGCAAAAACCAGAGCCTTACTTATGATTCAGTACTACACAAATTGGTTTAATTATTTATTTACTAGCTAATTAAATGGGAACACAGGATAAACACACCAGTTATTGACTGGAGAAAACAGGTCCCTAGCGGACTGACAACATGGCTGTTAGTTAAAGAGGAGGGAGAGAGAGACAGACACTTAATACGTTGAAAACATTCAGAAACTGCTCTCACCTACAGTACCCATATACTTGGCACATGAACTGCCGCCCGCTTTGAGTAAGAAATCATGAATGTATTTACGTGAAATACAGCCTTGGAAAGGGGTTGGGCCTTTTCACTGCACGCTTGTAAGGCTCTTCTTGTCCAAAATGGTTCACAATGTCCTTCTTCGTAGTTGTCCGGTCTCCAATGACTTGTCATGTAGTCCTGAACAGAACTACAGAATTGATTTTCCTTCCCGTCGCTCTGGAGGTTGCTTCTTTGAAGATAGGCTAGCCAGCCGTATCGATGGTTCCCCAGTGGGGGGTGAGAGTAGCGTAAAAATATGGTTTGAGCAGAGTAGCAGTTTGTCCTACTTAAATTTGCTTTTGAAGATACCTTACTTAGGACAGCTAATCAGCCGTACCAGTGATTTTAAATGTGTAGCTGCCGCTTTCACGTTTTCTGGTCTGGTATGTTAATTTCTTTACCCATCTTTTATACACTCTGCTCGAAAAGGGGTGGTTCCGTCAGGCTGACACGCTTTCTGACCTCACTTTGGGCGGTGACTACTTACTGTGCAGAGTTTATCGAAAACAATTATCTCTTTATAGCTTCTTAAATCAAATCCCGCTCTTAACAAATATACTTTCATCATTTTTCATATTACATGCACAACGTATAGGATGGACATTTCATACATGTAGTGGGTATACTTTCCAAGTTACAGTATTTCCTTTATAACAATTTTTATGACGTCACAAAATAACAAACAAAATGACATCAGTTTCCATAGATCGCCTCCGACCATTCCCCACATTTTATGTTCGAAATATTGTTCCAGTATTCGCTTTTGAACGTGTTAGTTTCAGCGGGAAAAAGTATATTGAAACAAAGACATTCCTTTGGATCTGGAGAGGGAGGGCCTTCTTTGTTGATTTACGACCGGGCGTGAGCTGTTAATCTCCACTAGTTGTTTCCTTCCCCCTCTACGTGAGAGAGGGGTCTGATTGAACTTATTCATTGGAAACCTGATCTATTTGGATTCTCGTGGACAGTCATGACACGATGTATGTTTCGCTTAACTGAGTGTTCTGTGTGTTGATTTGCTGACTTTTACTGGCAGGACCTGTTTGTTCTGTTGGATCTGATTGGTGCACCTGACCCTATGTTTGTCAACCACTTTGACAATACTATACGCTGGTTCGATGAGCTCATATATGCAGGTAAGGCCCCCCCACCCCACTTCTCAACATTTTTACTCCATATACAGTATCACAACAATTGCCTGTATTGCCAGGTAAATTAATGAATTATTATCCCATTGATTGCTCACTGTAATCATAATGGGGCAGGAACATGTTGTAATGGAGATTGTGAAGTAGAGGGAAGGAGGCAGAGGTACACTAGAATAACAGAAAGAACCAGGGAGCAAGGCAAAGAGAGTTTGGCAGGTGGATGACTGACTCATGCTGATACAGGACCAGGCTCTCCTGTGCTGATCTGACTTTAATTTCACTCAGGCACAGTAATAAGACACCTGGAGTGAGCTGTTCTTCCTCCCTCAATTTTCTGTCTCCTCTCTGCTTACCCCACCCCCTCTTTATCATTGGCCTTGACCCTGGCCCACGGTGGCTGTCATGTCTGTCTGCCAGAGAGGAGGCTCCATAAGCTGGGTCTGCTGTCCTCCCACCCCAGAGAGGTGAGCTACTTTAGGAAGGACATAAACCTGGGCCCTGTGGAGGACGACCATGTGCCCTTCCTCCAGCAGGGTGAGGGATCACACCCACATAGATAGACAGATGGTTAGAGAGCACATTTACTGACTAACAATAATGGATGTTTAACAGTACACCTTGAATACTTACACAGCTGATTAGACTATGGCCTTATGACTGTACTGTATTTACAGAGATTGGTTCCCTCCCTCTGCTTTAGTTTTATCCCTGTAGAACTTAATGTACCACCTGCCTTTTTTCTCTCTCGCGCTATCAAACTCTGTCTACCCCATCTGTCCTCTACACTCTACCCTATCTCATTTGTCTTCTCCCCTCCCCTGTCTCTCTGCCATTCTCACCCACTCTGCTCTATGCCTGCAGGGGTTCCAGTACTACACATGATCACAACGCCCTTCCCCTCCTTTATGCACACTCTGGAGGACACAGCGGAACACATCCATTCTCAGACTATCGAGAATCTCACCAAGGTGCTAGTGGTGTTCCTCGCTGAATACATAGGACTCTGACTGACATTTTTCCCCCATTATTATTGATCATACGCATGGATCCGTTCGATTTTATGCCACAATCACCCACCCTTGTTTTATAATACCAGCACTCTCCCACTTGATGACTTAGTATCACATCCCCACATCATACATTTCCAAAGTCCTATCACACCATGCAATTTTTCCACATCACTGATAATCCCACATTCTATACCCTAGTCTTATTGTTTTTTCTTTATCCATTCTGGAGCCACACTATAAAACTGTTGAAATTAGGATCTTGATTATAGAGCCTTTTACATTCCCTGTCCCTCTAATTCCCATAATCGATGTGGGACTCAGATTTATGCAAGAACAGATTGTTAAACTTAATGATGTGCCTTTTTTCAATATGTTCCGTAAATGAGGTTGTGCACATTAGAGTATATAGTGTTTCCCAGTGAGGGAAGCTAGATCATGTGGATAAAAAACAGTTTAAAAGTCTAAATAAAGACGTGATATACAGACATTACTGTACATATTTGTTCCCCCAAAAGTCATTTATATGTTGAGGACAGACAGTCCAGGAATAATATAGCAATAAATATGTGCTTTGGCAAGTGCCAGATTATATGGAATGTAATTGTGCATGTAGCTAATGCAAGTAATACAAAGTATTACTTGACCCAACAACTCTGTTTGTTGAAATACATGTACTATGTATTAGGATGAAGGTTAATCAAATGTATTGGTATGACTTTATATATTGAGCATTAAGATATTTAGAGATTTATCTACAAGCAATAGTAGGTTCAGTGCCAATGCTTTACATATTACTTGTGTACTGAAATAGTTGCATCCACCAGTTAACTGGCCAAAAGTGATAACTAATTGAAAAGGATTATCTATTGCGTACTGTATGCATCCACTATTGTAGCATAACAATGGCCTTGACATGAGTGTCAGCCAGCAGAATGTAATAATGCATAATGAGAAACTATTCTATGCGCAATACTTGTTACAGCATACTCAGTTCCAACATTATTATAATGTATGAACCAGACTGTGTGAATGGATGCTGCCACTGTTTTGTTACATAGCCTGGGTGCCAGTCTGTTTCTGCTAGTGTTGCACATGGGGATGTGTGAAACTTACTCCTCAGCCTGAAGTGTCCCTACTTGCACCAGTGTATAGCAAGCTTTTCGTGTGGCGTCGACTGGTAAGACGCTTCAGGAGGGAGGTCATGTGTGCTAGCAAGGAAAGTCCTGGGTACGAGCCTCGGTGTGAGCTGAATCAGGAAGAAGTGGTACTCGCTAAGTATAACGTCCGTTATACTAGACAACATGTATTATTGTTATTTTGCCAAAAGAAACAAAACACTCAGTAGTTCATGCACAACAAGCAGTCACCCTGGCTCCAATTGGAGTAATCTAATCTCCTATGTGAAAGATTGATTGACGCTGTACTTAAGCAATAAGGCGCGAGGGGGTGTGGTATATTGGCCATATACCACAAACCCCAGAGGTGCCTTATTGCTATTATAAACTGGTTACCAACATAAGTAGAACAGTAAACAAGTATTTTTGCGTCATACCCATGGTATATTGTCTGATATACACAAGGCTGAAACACTACTTTAGCCAATCAGCATCCAGGACCCAAAATACACGGTTTGTAATGTACCTCAACCCTTGTATTGCACTAATATCTGACATCGCCTCATACTTTTATTGTACTGTATAAAAAAATACATATGAAATGAATGATAGCTTGCATAGAATTCCACTGAGAATATTTTCTTAAATAAAAAAACAAATATATAAACTTGTTTGATTTGTTTTATTTAATGTATGAGAAATTTGTTGAAACGTTAATTTCCCCCCAACATCTGAGCCGCTACCTTCCAGCAGGCGGTACCGGAGCATCAGGTCTCGGACCAACAGGTTCCGAGACAGCTTCTTTCTCCAGGCTGTTGAACAGCTAACCCTAAACTGTACCTGCACACTGAAACATGTATGAGAGCACCAGCTGTTCTGGACGACTGTGTGATCACTCTCTCCGTAGCCAATGTGAGTAAGACCTTTAAACAGGTCAACATTCACAAGGCCGCAGGGCCAGACGGATTACCAGGACGTGTACTCCGAGCATGCGCTGACCAACTGGCAAGTGTCTTCACTGACATTTTCAACCTGTCCCTGAACAAGTGTGTAATACCAACATATTTCAAGCAGACCACCATAGTCCCTATGCCCAAGAACACCAAGGTAACCTGCCTAAATGACTACCGACCCGTAGCACTCATGTCTGTAGCCATGAAGTGCTTTGAAAGGCTGGTCATGGCTCACATCAACACCATTATCCCAGAAACCCTAGACCCACTCCAATTTGCATACCGCCCTAACAGATCCACAATTTGCACTCCACACTGCCATTTCCCATCTGGACAAAAGGAACACCTACGTGAGAATGCTATTCATTGACGACAGCTCAGCATTCAACACCATAGTGCCCTCAAAGCTCATCACTAAGCTAAGGACCCTGGGACTAAACACCTCCCTCTGCAACTGGATCCTGGACTTCCTGATGGGCTGCCCCCAGGTGGTAAGGGTAGGTAACAACACATCTGCCACGCTGATCCTCAACACGGGGGCCCCTCAGGGGTACGTGCTCAGTCCCCTCCTGTACTCCCTGTTCACCCATGACTGCATGGCCAAGCACAACTCCAACACCATCAAGTTTGCCGACAACACAGCAGCGGTAGGCCTGATCACTGACAACGATGAGACAGCCTATAGGAAGGAGGAAAGAGACCTGGCAGTGTGGTGCCAGGATAACAACCTCTCCCTCAACGTGATCAAGATAAAGGAGATGATCGTGGACTACAGGAAAAGGAGGGCCGAGCATGCCCCCATTTTAATCGACGGGACTGTATTGGAGGAGGTTGAGCGCTTCAAGTTTCTTGGTGTCCACATCACCAACAAACTATGATGGTCCAAACACACCAAGACAGTCATGAAGAGGGCACGACAATGCCTATCCCCCCGCAGGAGACTGAAAAGATTTGGCATGGGTCCTCAGATCCTCAAAAAGTTCTACAGCTGCACCATCGAGAGCATCCTGACTAGTTGCATCACCACCTGGTATGGCAACTGCTCAGCCTCTGACCGCAAGACACTATAGAGGGTAGTGCGTACAGCCCAGTACATCACTGGGGCCAAGCTTCCTGCCATCCAGGACCTCTATACCAGGCGGTGTCAGAGGAAGGCCCTAAAAATTGCCAGACTCCAGCCACCCTAGTCATAGACCTTTCTCTCTGCTACCGCACGGCAAGTAGTACCGGAGCGCCAAGTCTAGGTCCAAAAGGCTTCTTAACAGATTCTACACCCAAGCCATAAGACTCCTGAACAGCTAATTAAATGGCTACCAGGACTATTTGCACTGACTGTCTTCACACCTGTATCTTAAAGAGACTATTTGCAGAATCTCACTCACCCACCCTTACACACACCTCACACACGCACACATGCACCATTGCTGGTACTATTTGTTATGATTATGTCATGACTCTCCCTGGGTGAGGATCAAAGGCCTCATATTAGCTTGGTAAATGGCCGACAACAACCAGACCCTCTTACCTACGGGGGGCTGTTTACAGGTTTACATCCTTTACATTATGTAGAAAATATCAAGGAGGAAGACAATGTTTCCGTGAAGATAGGAATGTGATTTTAGCTTTCTAACAAAATCATTGTGATGATAATACTTTTACCTCGTAACTAGCCACACCTGAGGGAGCTCAGAGAGCGTGTCAGTATGATGGAAACACTCCTCTTTACCAGAGTGCATAAAAGACTGAGATAAGAATTATCTGATTAGACTAGATGGACCTCAAACTGCAGCTGTTGTCCATATTGGTCCCTACCCTGAACATCAACAGGAGGTGAAGACAACAAAGTTGCCTCACTAACAATCAATGTTAAGGCTGAGTAGCTGTTCTAAGGACTGTATCTAAGAAGGTGAATTTAAGTGGGACCATCCTGTTACTCTCTTCAAACCATCGTCTACTACACTGCTCTCATCACTCCACAGGGGATCGTCGAGCCATCCTCAGAAGACCACTTCCAGAACGAGTGAAAGTAAACAGACGACTAAGAAGGAGGACATTGTGACCTCTTATGGACAATCTGAGCCTTACATCTGAACCTTACATCTAAAAGGCCATCTGAAAAGAGAAGGCCCAATCGACCCTTCCCACGAAGGCCTGGGTCCAACAGAGAGGATGAAGACAAACACGTTAATACATGCATTACTTCTTACCAAACAGGCGGCAGTTCTTGGCAAATTATTAGGATTACTATGAGTATAGGTCCATGTGTATCCAAGTGTTGTGTTAGTCCGCTAGGGACACGTTTTCATTGTATTAAGTTTCTAATCCCTATCTATACCGTGTACGTGTTTGTATCTTGTGTTATCATTTTTTATTAGTTAGTAAATAAACAATTAAATCAATTTGTGTGGTACGGAATGATCAGTAAGACCCGGGTTCGTGCAGACTTAAAGAGCCTACGACTTTCAGAATGAGACTGATAAGAGGTAAATGATTAATAAATGACTGTTAAATGATAAGAGATTGTAACAATATTGATGTTACTCATATTGATGTTACACAGGAAACGGAAACCAGTTGGGACTTACTGTATGAATGTGCGAGTTGACAACATGCCTAGTAAAGTTTGCTTAACTATATATCTTTGTCTGTCGTGACTACAACGCAAAGCATATTGAAACATGGTGGCAGCGGTATCCAAAAGAACCTGGATCTCATCGATTTAAAGGAAGAATACATCCCAGGTGGGAGTTTGAAAATGTGCCACGTTTACAGGCTAGTCATCGCGCCGAACGTTAACGTTAGCTAGCTATCGTATCCAATAGCTAGCTGGCTAGTGGATACAAGCAGATTCGTGAGTAGCTAACGTTCCATTCTACGAATAAATCGCCATGGAAAATGCACTGAAACTTCCGGGAAAAATAGACTTTGA